AGCTCCCCTCCGCGGGTGGGGGGGTCGTGGTCGCCCGTGCGAGTAGTACGGCCAGCCGGGCTCCGCCTTGAGGGCGAGCACCTGATCACGGCGTCGCTGTGACGAGGACCTCTCCCAGCACCCCCACCCCACCCCGAGAGGAGAGCACATTCATCCGAGCCGGCAGCTCGTACACAAACACGCATGGCGGCTGGCAACCCTCGCCCCCGCCGCCGCCGCCGCCCCTCCTCCCGCCGCCGCCCCTCCTCCCGCCGCCGCCCCCGGAAGGGACCAGCGCGGCGGGGGGGACGCGGAGCGCCCCCTGCTCCTCCCAGCCGAGCGGCGCGGCGCGGGAGGGCACCAGGCCGGAGGCCGGCGGAGGCGGGGGTGCGAGCGAGCAGTCGACGCCATAGTACGGCGGCTTGCACGCGCAGAAGCCCAAATCGCACTCGCCGCGGCCGTGGCAGTCGTTCGGGCAGTAGGCGCGGGGCGGCCTCGCGCACCTGCTCACGGCAAGAGCTGTGAAGAGACCGGCTCACCGCGCCACCAAGTGTGGGGCGGCGGCCTCGCACCGTGCGCCGCTGTACCCGCCCCAGCAGCGGCACTTGCCTGGTGGGTGGGCGGGGTGGACGCGTCACGGACGCGTCGTGGTCAGGTGCGGGCCGCCCAAGCAGCGCATGCCGTTTGGGCTGCAGCTGCCGTGCTCGCTGCAGCGGCCTGGGCACTGCTCGAGCGGAGAGCCTATCTCCACACCAGGCTGCGGCGTGGGAGAGAGAAGAGACGGCTGGCGCTGCAGCGGCCGCTGCTTGAGCGGCTCGCCGACGCAATCGTACGCCGCGGAGGAGCCGCGCGAGAGCGAGGAGCGGTCCCCTACAGGTGAGGAGTCGAGCTGTGAGCGCGCGAGGTGTGAAGAGGGCGGCGAGAGAGAGAGAGAGATGTCTCCGAGGAAGGTGACGGGGAGCTGGCCGGCCCCGGCCGACACGGAGAAGGGGGAGGGGTGCGACGAAGTGCAGGTCGGGCGGTCGCAGAACCACGGCGCCTACTCGTTGCAACGCACGCCGCTCGCTTTCCCCCGCGGGACAAGCGAGGGCCGCTCAAGGCGCGGCGACGGGCCGAGTCGTTGTACACGCACCAGCCACTGAAGATGTGAGTGCGCGCGATCGCAGGCTCGACGACGAAGTCGCATGCGGGTCCCCACCGGTGGCGGGGGCAGTCGCACCGCCCCAGCGGCGGGTAGCAGACCCCTCCCCGCTGCGAGCACTCCGGCGGGCACTTTCCCTCGCCGTGGTGCCACGCGGTGCCTGCGAGGCAGACAACAGCCGCGCAGTGAAGAGGCGGCGCCGTCTCGCGGTGCCCTCGCCGCAAGCACGGGAGGCGCCTGTGAGGAGCGGCCCTTGCCCGCCACCCGCCTGCAGGCCTGGGGGCGAGTCCCTCTCCTGCCAGCCTGCGGAGCGAGGACGAACTCGTCAGAGCATGCTGCTCGAGGCTCGACGGCGCGCCGCCTCACAGAGCACGCCTGCAGAGCGGAGCATCTTTGCGAGCTCGCGATCTCGCGAGGCGAGCCCCGCTTCGCCCGTGCCCCTCGCCTATTCGCGGCGTGAGGCGTGAAGAGCTCTCGCGGCCGCCGCGACCCGCCTCGCCACCCCTCCCGCCTCGGTAAGCCAGGTCCGAGTGTGCGGCTGCGTGTCGCGAGGGCTGCCATCGTGCTTCGACATGTACCGCAGGTGCGCCAGGTAGGTCGAGGCGAGCGGCGAGGCCGAAGGCGGGCCTTTGCCGACGGTCTCTGGCCGCGGACGGACGACAGGCGGCGGCGGCGGCGGCGGCGGCGGGCGGGCGACAGGCCGAGGCGGCGGTGGCGGTGGTGGCGGTGGTGAGGAGGATAAGGGTCGTGGCGTCCGAGCTGTGGCTGGCGGCAGAGAGCGAGGCGTGCCGGTGGCGCCGGCGTGCGAGGGCGTCGCGATCGGCTGCGGCAGCCGGACGCCCTGAGAAGCTGGTCCGCGCCACATCTCGTGCCGGAGTGGCAGCGGCGAGGCGGGCGAGATTGTGGCGTCGGCCGTCAGCCGCTGGCCGACCGACTCGACGCGCGAGCTGGCGAGTAGCGCGAGTACAGCAGTGCTGGCGGCCAGCGCGGCGGCGGCCAGCGCGATGGAGCGTCGGACTTCCATTCTGGCAGGACACCTAGTGATTCGCGCTGGCAGGACACCTAGCTACCAGGTACCCGGGAAGTGATTCACAGCCTTGTTATTGAGAAGAAAATACTCGCATAGTGTGGGTAAACGAAAAAAGTAGCGCCCAATTCGTCTACGTACGGCTTAGTGAGTGGTTGGGGTGGCCTCAGGCATCCCCAAGGGAGCCTCTGCGGTGCCCCATAAGCAGCTTAGCGATAGTCGAGACTTAAAGTGTTTCGTTTGAAGAAACGCAAACCGGACAGACGGTACTATGGTCACCAGTAAACGAAAATTCGACTTTGTGGAATCATATCTCAAAAGGCTGGGTGAGAGCATAGCATTATTGTTGCATATTAGGCCACATAAGGTCAAACTTGACCCCACAAGCATCAAGAACCCGATGCTCCGGCTCGACTGTGCCGGCACACTGCCTCCTCGCGCACGCTGCTCGCAGGCCGTTGCGGCCCGTGGTGCACCAGAGAGAGAGGTCGACGCGTTGCCCCCGCCGGCGATCCCGCGCGGCTCAGGCCAGCCAGAAGGTGTGTGGTGACGGCACCGTGGCAGGAGTGCGGAGAAGAGCCCGCCGAACGCGAGCAGCAGATGGCCAAAGTGTGCCAGCGCGAGAGCCTCGCGAGCGGGCGCAGAAGGAGCTCGCCGTGACACGATGCCGGGCGGTGGTGGTGCTCTGGCGACTGTGCACAGTGGGCAAAGTCAGGCTGCAACAGGGCAGCACGTTGGTAGTGCCCTGTTGCAGCCTGGCCTGACATGCACAGGGCGAACAGAGGCGGTACTATCGTCCGGCGCTCGTCACCGAACCTGGGCGAACTTCGACCGCCGCCACAGCTCACCACGAGCACGCAGCGACAAAATGTTGACTGTACGGAAGTTGAGGCTGGTCGAGAGGAAGAGGCTGCCGTGCGAGCCGGCAGCAGGCTGGCTCGTCGTGGACTGCCGCGGCGACTTTTTTCGGTGTCTTTCTTGATAGTACCGAATACGGTACTTTCGTTTACCCACACTCTGCGAGTACCTCGTATGGCGCTTCACATAAACGCACAACTCCGGACCCAAGACGCACAAGCACTAGTGATTCACAGAAAAAGAATTTTATTCAGCGATGTACATCTTCTTTCTTTCTTTCTTTTCGGGACTGCGACTGCAGCAGAAAAAGAATTTAGAGGCCAATATACCGTCCTCCCATCCCTACCTTGACTTGTCTCTTTTCTTTCTTCCTTTACAAGTCGGCAGCACAGAGAATACTGCTGCGCGTAGATCGGAGAGAGAGAGAGAGAGAGAGAGAGAGAGAGAGAGAGAGAGAGAGAGAGAGAGAGAGAGAGAGAGAGAGAGAGAGAGAGAGAGAGAGAGAGAGAGAGAGAGAGAGAGAGAGAGAGAGAGAGAGAGAGAGATTTAGCATGTGTTTTTGTGTTAGTCGGTGTTGTTGGCAGACTGTGCTAGAGACTGTGACACGTGAAAAAGGGAACACCGAGTGGAGAATTCAATTGTCGTTGGGGCGGCGCACGTCATATCATCTGTGTGGGCTCGCCGGCGGAAGGGGGCTGCTTTGGTCGCGCCGCAGAGCTCTGCCGGCGCGGTCCGCTCCCGTTCCCGCCCTCCTCCGCGCGGCTTGCGTCCTCGTCGGAGCCCTTGGCGAGCTCGTCCTTCGACTCCTGCTCGAACCTTGCGAGCTCGCTGCGCATGCTATCTGCCCCCTCGCCCGCGCCGGGGCCGTCCGTCGTTTTCCGGGGGCTCGGTGTCGGCCTCTCATCCCGTCCGGGCGGTCCACTCGTCCTCGGCGGCGGCTCCTCCTCCGTCGGCGCCTATCGCAGCGCCCCGTCATGATCGGCGTCCCACCCTCCGTCTCCGCCCCAAACCACTTTGCGGCACCGTCCTTCCCCGAGGCGAAAGCACCGACCGGCTGCTAAGCCCGTGGCTCAGCCACGAGCCCGCACGCAAAGAGCTGGCGCGAAGGGACGCCGCACGCTCCGACGCGCGGTCGTACGCCTCGGACACGCGTTCCTTGACGTCGTCGCGTACGTGCTTGCCACGCCCCGTCAGGTGGACAAGCTTGACAAACTGGGCGAAGCCAAGCGAACCGCTGCCCTCCAGGCACGACATAAAGGCCTCGTACGAGAGGCGCCCCTCGCCTATCAGTTGAGTGCCAAAATGATAAGCATCCAGCGCAGGTACGGCAGGCGCCACCCCCTCCTCGCCCTGGTTGGCGTCGCCCTGGTTGGCAGCGCGAAGCACCGTCTGCGCCATCTCAAGCGCGTGCTCCTTGTCGACCGCCTCGATGAGCCCAAACACCCCGGCAAGGTCCTACGCGTTCCATACACGGCCCTAGTACATCTAAAACGGCTGCTGGTGCCCTGCTGGCCGGCGAGGCGTCCTGCACGGTGACGTAGCCCGAGGCGTCCTTGTCGAGCGAGCGAAACCAGAGCGCACCCAGCGCCGATCGGAGCGCCATCTGTGCAAAGGTTTGCTGGCGGCTGATCCGCTCGGCGCGCTTGTTCGATAGAACGGCGGAGACGCCGTTCGGGAGGAGGTCGAAGACCACCGTGTCGATGGCGAACGCGGCGAGGGAGAAGAGGGCCATCCTGTTCATGGGTGCAACGCGCTGTGGGGAGAGACCGCTCATAGGAGCAGCGAGCGGAGACGGCGGGCGTCCCTTCAACGAGGAGCAGCATCAGGTGCGTGAAGTCGAAGCCGTACAGGTACCCCGCCGCCCTGAAGTCGATTAGGACGCCCTGTCGGTACCTAGTGGGCGGCGATGGCCTCTTCCGGAAGAGGCAGGCGGATCACCCTCGCCGCGAGCAATTGTTCTCTCTCCGCCCTCTCTTTCTTGCTCAGGAGGCTGTACCTCGTCAGCCGTGTGTACGACTCGACCGGGCCGTCGAGCTCTGGAGGCTCTTGGTACGAGTAGAGCGGCCCGAGACCGGACCAGCCGAGCTCGACGTGCTTGACCTTCACCTCGACATCTACATCGCGATTTTCCTTCCAGAACCAAGCCCGACCGCTCGCGTGCCTGCTCACGAGAGCAGGTGTGAAGAGCGCTGTTCGCAGCAACATCGCGGCCGGCCGCTCTCGTTGTGCCTGTTGTCGTACACGAGGCTCACGAAGAGGCGCACACCAGTCGTACGGAAGTACGGGTGCGCCGAGGCGTTGCGAGGGTCGCCCGACACCTTCGTGTTTATCTCGTCCAGCCCAATGGTGCCCATGCCCGACTCGGCCAGGGCGAGGATGTCTGCAAGGCTGAGCGCGATGGCCTGGCCCGACGGCCAGACTGCGATGCAGTCGTCGCCTTCGCAGGAGGTTTCGCAAGAAGAGCCGCAGTCGATCTGGATAGAGCCGGCCTGATACCTGTTCAACGGCCAGTAATTGTCGTTAAGAGGCTGGGTTCCATGAGTGGTTGAACGGAAAGAACAGCAGCATACTTGATAACTGTGTCGAGCTTGTGCTCTGCCGCCGAGTTGAAGGACGAGCCCTTGAGGATCGGGTTGAAGAGCTTGTCCGTTGAGCGGTACTCGTGTTCGAAGGCGAGCTTCAGGTCCTCGATCCCTTTCGGATAGAAGGTGGTTGAGAGAGCGCAGATGCATTGGTTGCCAGACTGCTCCACGGACCCGCCACCCTCTTCACATTTGCCGCGCTTCATCGCGTCCGCGTCCGCGTCGTCGCACGGCCAGCCGTACTCGATCGTCTCGATGATGTTGGTGGTGAAGTGCACCGACCCAACCCCCTTTGTTACAATCTCGTCTGGCTGCAGCGGCCGGCAGGCCGGCTGCACATACGACCACTCTGCGGAGTACATGAAATCGTGGTCGGGGCTGGAGCAATAAGCGAAGCTGGTCGCATTGCGCGCAGCGAGCAGCGCAGCGAACGAGGCTCGTCCCGTGTCGCACCAGGCGTTGACAGTCCCGGACGGTACCTCTGAGACGACATAGCTGTTGCTCACAATCAAGTCCCATAGGACGTAGGCTATCACGGCCAGCTGCAGAATGCGGTAGGTGAGGCCGACCTGCCAGATATCAACGCGTACCTGTCTACTTGTGCGGTAATAGAGGTAAGTCTTCAAGGTCTCCCACATCGCGCAGAGCATGCCAAGACGCCACGGCCGTATCGACCAGCTGCAGAATGCGGTAGGTGAGGCCGACCTGCCAGATGTCGAGCGACCACTCCGACGAGCTGGACTCAGGCGACAGGGACGGCCGAATTAATCGCCGAATTTACACTCAAATCGGCGTTTTCACGCGCCTGCTCTAGCAAAATGCACACAGACAGAGCCGGACTTTTACAGTACTGTCCGAGGAGGCCACCGGCCAAAAGCGCATGTCTTGAAGGTCCGATACTGGAAGCCCATATAGGCACCTTACACTCCCCCGCAGTATCGCACCTCTTGAGCGACACTACGTTTCCGCAGCTGGGGATTCTCCGGGTACCCTGATGCTTTCGGAATCACGCGCGAAGTCTAAGACGCGCCGGCCGGGCCTTCTACATAACACACATGCAAAAGGAACCTGTTAGCGCCCTCTCCAAGAGTTGTTACAAACGCCCTCTCCATGTGCACTTTTAGGTATACTCCATGTGCACTTTTAGCTCCCTGCCGCAATGCATTGCGTGCTGCTCGAGCACCTCCACGAGGTCGCCAAAGATCTCGGCCGGGAAGACCCTCGCCTTGTTCGCCTCGATGGCGTCGAGGATGACCCTCCTCTCGCGGGCCTCCTCTGCGCGTGCACCACGCGTGTCACTCTGCAGAGCGATGAACCAGAGGCCCAGGACGATGTCGACAAGCTTGACCTTGTCCTCCACATTCGAGAACTCTCCCTCGAAGACGCAGATCGACTCGGTGACCCAGTCGTTGATCGCCTCAGTTGCGCTGGCGCCGGTCAAATCCGCCCTCGATAGTCGCGCGCTCTGCTCCTTGAGTTCACACATCGGAGTGAGGCAGGCCGATTCCAAGCTGTCGCCCGTGAAGACATGCATGTCCGCCAGGCCGCCCGCCGTCATGCGTGCCCACTGCTCGAGGCGACACCAGCCGCGCTTGCTGTACGTTTCAGCATTACAAATGGTGCCGAGCTCTCTGTGCCTGGCGGGCGGAGCGACGACGATGAAATAGCGCACGACGCAAGCATACATCCCAATCGCAGAGATGCACAGCGACTTCAGGGTCTCATTCTGCTGCGCGATGCAAGAGTAGTCAAGCCAGAGGTACAGCTCGTCCGGAACGACGCCTGCATTCTCGCAAAGCTGCTCCGCCGCGGTGCAAATTGCCGGGAAGTGCTGGTTGTCGGAGTCGGGCTCGCTGAACCCGAGCCATTGGTGGGAGATGAAGCAGGTGGGGTGCTTGCGACAGAAATGCGTGATAGCGTCAAAATCGTCCATATAGAACTGCAAGCCCTTTTGCCGCGCCACTTCAAAAGGCACGAGGCGGCGGAGGCTCTTGAAGTCGGAGAGCTTGATGAAGACCATTGGGAACGGCACTGAGGTGATAAGGTTGGACGCGTCGCGAACGCGCTTGTGCTTGAGCCGAACCTGCTCCTTCGCCAGCGCGGCCTGCTGCTTGAGTCGGTGGTACACGCGGCGGCCAGCGTAGACCAAGAGGCCAAGCAAACCGAACCCGAGAACGAAGGGTGGAATGTAGATGAGCAACGTGAGCGAGTCGCCGGAGGGCTCGTCGTAGGGGCCAAGTCCGAGCGTGCGGCGGTACTCATTGCGCTGCCCCTGCAGTGTGAACCGCCTGGTGACCTCTTTCCACTTGCGGGTGATCTCGAGCTGAGTCGTCGCTTCATCCTTCTGATCCTGCAAGTATTCAAACAGCGTGGGTAATGTGGCGTCGTGCACATACGGGTAGTAACCCTGAATTGAGAGGTCGCGCACGCCGTTCTCGGTCTCAAACACAAACTTGGTCTCGGCGCGCAATGACCTGATCTGCTTGGGCGACCACGAACTCTTGATGTATGCCTGCGCCTCAACTGACGACAAATTGTTGAGCGGTTCGACGTGACGGTTGCGGTAAGGGTCGAGACCGCCATCCAGCCGAGCTACGTCGAGATACGAAATTGCAGGATCTGCCACGAACATCCAAAAGTCAAAGGCGATGTCCTGATGGATCGCAATTGCGCTTTTGCGTACCGAGGCCGCGAGGCCGCCACCAGCGTACAGTGGCGCATAATTGACGCCATTCACTGCGAATGGACAGCTGGTGATGAGGGGGGTGGTTTGGTCTGCGCACAAGTCGGCTGAGACGGCTCCAGTGCGAGAAAAGCCAAGGCTCTGCATGTGCTGTATCTCTGTGCATGCAACGCCTGGCAGCCGGTGCACTTGCAGCCTCCCGTTCGGATCGCCGCGCTCTGTCTGGTTGCTAATGACCAGGGCGGAGATGCCCGAATAGATGGCCGTCGTAATACTCTTCGGGAAGTCAAGCATGAGCGCACAGCGACCCTCGGCCATCAAATTGCGGCTTTGCCCAGCTGAAATAGGACCCAGATCACGGTAGGGCGAGGTGAGGACGAGGCGCTTCCACATGCGCAGTGCGTTGACAAACTCGGTTTGCTGGACTTGGGCATCAAGGATTCCATGTCGAAGAATATGCCCTGCGAGCGGCCCTCCGTCTGTAGATATGGCGCCACGATGGCCCAGAACGGTGTGTGCGCATCCCGCATCGAGGTTCGGAAGCACGCGCCGAAGTCGGGCTGCCCGTCAAAGTTGATGTCGCGCCTGCGATCGTAAGTCGAGGTTCAGGGACGAGCTGTGGCCAACAGGGGAGCAGGGCGCGACGCACTCAGCGAAATAATCAGAGATCGTGGCGAACTCCTCCCAGGTGCGTGGTATGGCAAAGCCAGCCGTCTCAAGGAGATCGGCGCGGTAAGCCATCATGATCACGTCGCCGTCGAGGGGTATGCCAAACACTGAGTTGTGTTCGTGGCCCGCCAGCCGGTACGAGACGACCTCGCGGACGCCTGGAAATATGTCAAACCAGTCGAGGTCTTTGTGCTTTTGCACTCGTGCGGTGAGGTCTAGCACGGCATCGTGCTTGGCCATGTCAGGCAGGTTGTTCGCTTGTTGCATGTAGCTGCAGTAGAAGCCCGGTCCTGTCGCATCGGACAGTGAAGTCATTCGGATGTCTCTGCTCTTGTCGTATTCGATGAGCACAGTGGCTCCGGTAATATTGTTGAAAACTTCAGCTTTTTGAAGCCAGAACTCGCCTTGAACGACGCTCATTTGGATGAGCATCGTGCACGTGACACCTTGAGCGTCAGGGCGGCCTCGGTACTTGTCGCGCAGCTTCTCACGCAGCGGCGTTGATTCAACCGACGACGACGGCTGCGTAGGCTGTGACAGCGGTGGAGTGGTGGCGCCAAAGGCAAAAACGGTGGCCGCCAACGCGAAAACGCTGGGCATATGCCAGTGTGATAATGTGGCTCGAGCAAGTCGGATGGCTCGGTCGGAGCAAGTCGGATGCTCGGAGAACACCAAAAAAAAGATGCAAGATGCAGTGAGGGACTTTTGTCGATGTCGGCTAGAGGTGCTTGCCGACGGCTAAGGCCGAAATCGTTATTGTACCTATCGTATTGCAGGTGAGTCTCTCCTTCCTGCCGGTGTGAACGCAAAGGATTAGTCGACTCAGCTGTTCCGCTTACACTTACTTGAGCACTTGAGCACTGGATAGGGCCGATTCCGCGTGGTACGGGACCCCTCGATCGTCTCGCCCTCCCTCACTGGTGTGTTCATTGGGGGGGGTCATAACAAACACGGTACAGGATCGAGGTGCACGCTGCCGAAGCAGTGTCGTCCCCCCTCTCCCCGACGGCGATGGCGGTGTGACCGATCGAGCTACAAGAGGAGCTTGTTCAGCAGGATCCGGGGTAGTCAGATGCACTACCTCACTGGGCCTGAGATCATCGTACGACGCCTCCCATCACCGTCTCGGGTTTGTGTGGCTGCGTGGCGAGGTACGCATTGGCGATGGTGTCCGCATAGTGATTGCCGTACACCCCCCGGTGCGCTCGGACCCACATGAATTCCACTCGCTCCACAGCGCGGTCGTTGCAGAGTTCAACAATCCGCTCGAGCAGCTGCCGCCGGTGCATTGTTCGCAGAGCCCGCAATGACCGCGCCCTTCTCGCCGCCTCTATCATGACGAGGGTACTGCTGGAGTCTACCAGAACAAGAGCCCTTACCTTGGCATCCCGCCCGCGGGCGCGGCGCACCGTCCTGGCCAGGTACGCATACACCGCCGTGGTCTCCGCGTCCTGCACTGTGGCGCCCGACGGAAGCGCGCCCCCGTGAACATCCGCCCCACGGAGGCCCGTCCCTGTCGCGTATATCCCAAACGCAACTCGGGCAGGCTCCTCCCTTGTTGCCGGCTGCAGACTCCCGTCGGTGAAGGCCACGTCGGTGTACCGGATCCTCGCGTGCCTTTGCAGGGCAAGGTCCATCATGTAGGCCGTGGTGTCGGATCGCATCCCCCTCGCCTCCTCCCACTTCATGCGAATGGGCGGGAGGGGGACCTGGTCCTCGGGCGGCGGCCGCGTGGCAATCCCCTCGCACTCCGCCGCCCATTCGTAGAGGCCCGCGAGCGTCTCCGCGTCCCCGCCCTCGCCGACCCCGGTCAGGGGCGGGACCCGGTACACCGGCATTCGCAGGATGTCCCGTCCGACGCGCCCGCCGGCCAGGAGCGCGACGCGCGCCTCCCTGGCGGCGCTTGTCAGTGTTCGACTGGCGCTGCCCAGCTCATCCCGGGACCCGTCCCCGGAGGCCGGGTCCATGCTCGCGTGGCGCCGCGTCCGTTCGTGCACCCCCCGTTCGACTGCGGCCAGCACCACCTCGTCCGTTAGGTCGAGCGCCTCGTGTTGCTGGAGCAGCTCGGCGGCGTTTGCGCAGATCACGAGTTTCCCGCCGCCGTCCGCCTCACGCAGGGCGGTGGCCGGGTCCTTGGAGAACAGGGTCCCCTCCAGCCCCCACCCCACGAACTCTCCCGTGTCCCTGCGCACTCTGCGAGACAGGAGTTGCAGGGATCGTTCGAGTCGCAGCTCGCCCTGCCAGAGGAAGTGCTCCGCTTCGGCGGTCGTGAGTCCCTTGTAGAGGGTGAGCCTACCCTCCTCCTCCCCTGGCGGATGTAGGTGCACGTCCCGTGAGAAGGCGCGCACCACCGGGTCTGTGGGGGCAAGGCCGCAGCCGGAGTTGAGCGTCGGCTCATCCCTCGGCTGGTCTCTTCGCCACGTGGCCTCTGTCTCCCACACCGGCCCGGCGTCCGGATCCCCGGGCCGCACGCAAGCTCTGGCCCGGTGCGCTGCCTCAGTCCAGTGGTCCGGCGGGGTCCCTACTGTCAGTCCCCGCTGCGCCTCTCGCCGCAGCCGCCGGTCCTCCTTTGGCTCAGGCGTGCTGAGCGACGGGATTCGCTTGTCGTCCTCAATGGGCCATCCTCTTCCTTCCATCCCATTGTCCACGCTTGGCTCATCGCAGTCGCTCCCCAGGGGATGTTCGGTTCCGGCATCGTCGTCGTGCCCCTCCCGGTCATCGTCATCAACCTCGCGTTTCGCGGGAGTGTGCGGGGACGAGTCCGTCTGTTCCAACCACCTCCGCTCCCTGGGGTCGAGCGGCGTGACTGCTGCTGGCGCAGAAGCACACGCCCCTTCCTCTGTCGCGACGGGCAGGTGCCCCCCAAAGAGGGTCTTCCCGATCGGGGCCGGAACCAGCCTCCTCTTCGCGGCGGCAGCATACTTTCCGCCCCTGAGCGTCTCCAGCTGCCCTGCGAGCTCGCGCGGGAACGCAGCCCTCGCCGCCCTCCGCTCCAGGATCAGCGCTACTTGCACGAGCTGGTCCTCCTTCGCACGGATGTCTCCCCCTCGGAGGTCCGACCACCCCTGCACTCCGAAGTGGGCCCTGAGCTCGGCCAGCGCTCCGTGGGGCATGACACTCGGCTGCCCGTCCTCCCTCTTCCTCGTGCGCACCTGTTCAAGGCTGTCTCGCAGGTGTGTGGCTTCGCCAGGCGAGAGCCCCTCCGCCAGCCTGCGCTCGGGTTCCCACCTGTCCGTATCCCCCAGTAGGGGGAAGCCCTTCCACTGCACGAGGTATTCCAGCTCGTACACTTACTTACCTGTTAACAGCGTCGGTTGTGCGTTTATGTGAACAGCGTCATTTCGGGGCCCGGGGTTGTGCGTTTATGTGACGCCCCGGGGTTGTGCGTTTACGTGAAGAGCGTCACGATTTGCAGCGGTGAGCGCGCCACACAAAGTGCCGTGCATTCGAGTTCGCTCAGTACCTTGCTCGGAGCGGCAAGTGCGAGCTGCACACGGATCGCCTTCGCCGCGCCCGTGTCGGGAGCTGGCTGCTACGTGAAGTCCGAACTGCTGCAGCTAGCAGGCGTCGTACGGAAAGATGGCCACGCCGCCGCCCGTGATGGCTGCTGCAGCAGCCGCCTGGTCTTTGTACCCGTGCTGGCCGGATTCCTCCTCCGAACAACTCAAGTTCGATCGGCCCCAGTCTCGAACTGGCAGCCACTATCTCACCGGAGGTACCATGTCCGAAGAGGCCACCGGCCAAAAGCGCATGTCTTGAAGGTCCGATACTGGAAGCCCATATAGGCACCTTACAAGTACGCACTCGCTGAGAGATAAAGGCTGGGTCTTTAGGCATTGTGGGGTTGGCACTCCCATCGACCCTCACATGTCATGACCTCCTGCGGTCTCTGAGAGGACACCAGTGGGTGTGGGACCACAGCCAGGATACACTCGAAGGCTGGGTAAGCAGTAGAGGTCGATACTCGACGCGTCCCACATGGTCTGTGTCGCTGTTGGCACGCTGTCGACAGGACGTCGAGCGACACCGGTGGCAGTGCCACCCAGGAGTGGTCGGGCGGTCTCCCGTCATGAAAGAGCCACCATTTGATCCGTATGATGATTCCTGACAACCGCCTTAATCAACTTTTGTCACAGTTCCCGCTCTGAGAGGAGCTGCGGGTCAGTTCGACAGCTGGAGCTGTGTCGCCGGCGTGCGGCGGCCTGCCTCCGGAGGTGCCTCTGAGGTGGACATTTTTTGGTCACCGTGAGAGAACGCGTTCGAATTTTCACTCCGGAACTTCAACTCTGCACGCGCACCGGCCAGGGCTACAATAGTGCCAGTGAGGCGGAGGCGCGAGTCGGAAGGCCGCGACCGTGATTTGGTCCCACCTTTCTCCTACATCGCTGTGAACCCAGCCGCGTACACAAATTTTGGAACGTATGTACACTCTCTCACTCTGCCGCCCACTTTTGCTACTCGGGCTACTACTCCCCCTCTTCAGAGATCGCGTAAATGTTATGTTCGATCACGCCACACGTTTCCCTCAACACTCTACAAAATATTATCGGCAGCTGCGTGAGCCGTGACGAGGGTGCAGCTGGCGCCTCTCTCACCCTTCGAGCCGCACCTTTCCAACCGGCACGGCGGCCGCCGCATCGTAGGTCGGCAGCGTGAGGTCGTGATAGAGCTCCTGCTTGTGCCACGCGTGCGGAAGGTAGTAGCACTCCGCCGCCGACGCCGTCACGTTCGGCCGCCTCGGCGGCGCGCCCCGCGCCCGCTCCTTGGCGCCCGCCACGCCATCCATGTCTGGGCGCGACTTCCACGTCACGATGTTGACGCTGCGGCCGGCGGCGGCGATGCGCTGCTCGGCCTCTTCGGCGTCGAACACGGCCTAATGAGCTCATCCATTGGTCGCGGGTCACCAGAATGAGTGGCGAGGCGTCAGTCGGTGCGGCGTCGAAGAAGAGTCGGCCTCGCCGCTCACGCCGACCACGGCGTCGCCCGCGCGGAGGCCAGCGGACCACGCCGACGAGGAGCGCGCGACCTGTTCACAGCAGTTCACAGCAGAGCGGCATGAAGAGACGCCGTTCACGCGCTGCGCCCACGACTATACCTCGGCTGCATCTCGGCTCCGGCCGACCTCGGCCGCCTCTCGGCTGCATCTCGGCTGCATCTCGGCTGCATCTCGGCTTCGCCTCCGAGAGGACGGGCGGCGAGTGGCGAGGCCCGTCGCTGAGCCGCACGCCGAGCTTGCCCTCCTCGTCCTGTCCACAGCCGAGGCCAGGCGTGAAGAGGCGCTGCGTTCGGCCGCACGGACTTCCGTCTCGCCCCCTTCGCGCTCCTTGCGCAGCGAGTGGGCCGTCGTGTAGCCCGACACGACCAGCTTCACCTCGCCTGCCGAGTCCTGCAGCCGGCGCGACAGCTGCTCGGCGCCTGAGACCACCCCGACGAGTCAGTGCTAGCCCCCCGCCCTCCCGCAGCGCAGCAGAGAGGCGGCGCCGTCCGTCACCAGCTTGCCGTTGACGGCGAGGAGCCGGTCCCCGGCGTTGAGTCCTCCGACGCCGCCGCCGTCGAGGAAGCGGGTGATGATGGCGCCTGCCGACGGCGAGGCGCGTGAA